TCGCCAACTTACCTAAAGCTGCTCGACCGACTTGGCGCGCACCATTTTTCTCAAATTTTCTCATTGGACTCAAGAGGTGGCCTCGTTCCACCACCCTGTCTCTTATACACATCTAGATGTGTATAAGAGACAGAGGAGGAGGAGGGGAAGGAGGAGGAGGGAAACAGCAGCAGGAGAAAGAGGAAGAAGAGGGGGAGGAGGAGGAGGAGAAAGGAGAGGAGGAGGAGGAGGAGGAGGAGGAAGAGGAGGAGGAAGAGGAAGAAGAGGGGGAGGAGGAGGCGGAGTACGAGGAGCAGTAAGAGGAGGAGGAGATGGAGGAGACGGGGGAGACGGGGGAGACGGGGGAGACGGGGGAGACGGGGGAGACGGAGGTGACAGAGGAGGAGGAGACAGACAACGCGAGTGAGGATATTACTCGGTCGGGGACACAGCAGGTAAGTGGGGGCAATGGCAAAGACAATGCAAGCCAGAGTGTTACTCCGTCGGGGACACGGCAGGCGAGTGGAAACAGCGAAGACAAAGATAGAGAGGGAAAGAGAGAGAGAGGTGAGAATCCAGTGAAGGAGAAAAATTGTTGATGTTTCGATATACTGTACGGTACATACGACGTAAACTGCATACAATTTATGAACCCTGCCTGGGATATACATCCCAGAGTGCAACAGTCGCATCGTCTGATGCTGATGCCAGAAGCCCTATTTGATAAGGACTAAAAGCCACTGCAGAGACTGTTGAAGAATGGTATTTTAGGATCGGCAGTGGTCTTCTACGCTTGTAATCGTAGATCCTCACTCTGTGGTCCCAGCCTCCTGTTGCCGCGATTCTGTCGTCTGGCCTGATAGCCACGTCGGCCGTCCCAGGCCTCGTAGTCTCCACCATCTTGGCCACATTGCACACCCCTGCGACGCAGTCGAGACGGAAGAAAATCGTACGATTGTCTGCAGCTCCGGAAACTCCACCGGAATACAAACTGTCTAACGCGATGCTCAAAATGGGCTCAGTGTGCAGATTCTGACAAATAAGAGGCTCTGCGTCCTGACGCGCATCCCACACTCTGATCGCCCCATCCTCAAACCCCGCCACAACCGTTAGAACACCCGTGTGTGGCTGCCGGAAAGCTTCCACCGCCATGCATGTGCTTGCTCTCCCACAACATGCAGGAAATGGGTTACCTTTGGCGCTGTTCAACCGATGCGACAACCGAAGCACATATTTTGTCGACGGAAGACTCCACACCTCCACGGTTGAAGGATTGAATCCAGCAATGGCAATCAGGGACTGATCCTGCGCTGCGACAAGGCCGCTGACGTCTTCCTCTTCCTTGCACACCGCAGAAGATACTGCACCCTCACCACCTTGGACTCCTCGATCGACATCTTCAGTTATGACCCGACTCAATCCGCCGACCACCGTGCTCCGCGTCTCCTTGCTCCTAGCAACATCCGTCATCGCCTCCAGGTTTCCCTGTTCCTTTCTAAGTATAGGATGCTGTGACTCCGTCTCACCTCTCTCCTTATTCTCGGCAGCTGTGAAGACGGCAGGGATCTCTGTATGGCCCTCCTCTAGTTGCTGTTGCTCTTGATGTTGATGTTGCTGTTGCTGTTGCTGTTGCTGTTGTTGTTGTTGTTCCTGGTGCTGGTGCTGGTGCTGGTGCTGGTGCTGGTGCTGGTGCTGCTGCTGGTGCTGCTGCTGCTGCTGGTGCTGGTGCTGGTGCTGGCGCTTTTGCTGTAGTTGTTGCTGTCGCAACGGGGGAGGAAGCTCCTTTGCTTGTCTGCAGAGATCAGACACATTCGCTCCTTCAGTATGCGAATCATTTACTTGAATATTCGCCACCAAATGCTCGACCTCCTGTTCATTTGCTTCACCACCTTCCATCTCACCTCTCTCCTTATTCCCGGCAGCTGTGAAGACGGCAGGCATCTCTGTATGACCCTCCTCTCGTTGCTGTTGCTGTTGCTGTTGTTGTTGCTGTTGTTGTTGCTGTTGCTGTTGCTGTCGCAGCGGTGGCTGCTCCTTTGCTTGTCTGCAGAGAACAGACACATTCGCTCCATCGGTATTCGAATCATTTACTTGAAGATTCACCACCAAGTGCTCCGCCGTCTGTTCCTTTGCTTCGCCGCCTTCCTCTCCCTTGTTTCCTCCCTCGCTTGGTGGCAGGAGTGGCTGGTTATTCTCCTTTCCAAAGTCAACTTGGTCATGGCGATCGTCAACAGTGGCCCTTGACTCCCCGGGGTTCCGCCCCCTCTCACCTTCCCCCTCTGCTTGGCAACCCTCATCTTCTTCCCCTATTCTTCTGCTGCTCTCACACACAGATCTATCACCCCAGTGTCTAACCACAGAGAATTTGCAGTAACTATACAATCCAATGCTGAGCGCAGCAACCGGGTCCTGTGACAACCCTGATTCCGACAAATGCCACTGTTTCACGACCCTGTCCCGACTCTGGGTCAGAAGCATCTGCTGACCCAGGTTCGAACACAGCGACTTGATGGCGACGACACCTCCAGCGCCACCGTAAACTCGCTTGGAGAAGACCAGTCTTCTTTGTGTGAGGTCCCACGCCTTCAGCTCTCCATCCGCATCGCCAGAGAGCAGAAGGTTGCCGCCAGGATGGAATTCCACAGCCCGGGTATCCGTTTTGTGACCCCGTAAAACGCAGCACGGATCAAGCGCCTTTCCTCTTCCGGATGCCATTGGTCATTCAGGTTCTTCGAATTTGGTCCAATAATTTTCACTTCCGGCCGATCAGCCAAAACCCCAAAGCTAAAGCAGCAGCAGCTGCAAGAGAGAGAACGAAAGGAGTAAGGAGAGCAGGGAGAGGAGGGAGAGGAGGGAGAGGAGGGAGTGGAGGGAAGGGAGGAAGGAGGTCAAGAGCAGGGGTAGGAGCACAGCAGCAGCAACTGCGGCAGCTGAAAGGGAAGCAGCAGCAGGCACTGGAGGAGACCGACGGAATAAAGGAAGGAGGCCAAGAACAGGGGGAGGAAGAGATCAGCAGCAGCAGCTTAGAGCAAAGCACCAGAATCCACCGGAGGAGAAGGATGGAAGAAAAGGAGGAAGGAGAAGCAAGGATGGAGCAAGGGGCACAAAAAGACGCCTGCAGGTGAACAAAGGAATGAAGGTAGGAAGCAGACGAAAGGGAGGGCGAGGAAGAGGAGAAGAGGGGACAGGGAGCAAGGAGACGAGGCGAGGGAGCGAGGGAGGGAAGGGGCCAAGAACAGCAGGAGGAAGAGAAGACCTTCCTTCACAATTCTTCGCGCGCTGCAAGTAGTTAGTCAGTTATGGGAATGACGTAAGACATACAACCATGTCCATTTTCCCTTCCTCCTCATCCACATGACCTGCTGCAGACGGATTCTATCCCCTCACCACCCCCCTCCGCAAGGATGCCATGCATAAATCGAGAAAAAGGTCCAAATTTAAGGGAAATTTAAAAAAGAACAAAAACTAGGTAAGTTAGACTATAATGGCTTATCCAAAAGATTATCATCATGAGATCTGCTTCTCTCAAAGACAGTCCATCTGTCCGTGAGCATAAAGATGAAGATGAAGATGAAGATGAAGATGAACGTCAACATCGCCTTCCATCCATCCATCCCTCAACCGTCTGGCAGCTCCTTCGTCCTTGCTGCCACCGAGAGGACCAAAGCTTTGGTTGACCTAGTTTGACCAAGAAAATCAGAGCTACCTAGTTTGACCAAGAAAATCAGAGCTACCTAGTTTGACCAAGAAAATCAGAGCTACCTAGTTTCACCAAGAAAATCGGAGCTACCTAGTTTGACCAAGAAAATCAGGGCTACCTAATTTGACCAAGAAAATCAGAGCTTAGCCTACCGTCTTCACCCGAATACAACGCCCGGTAATTTGTGCCAAATACAGCTACTATCAGGGTTGCCAGACCGAACGTACGGAGCCCCCGAAGCTGACCCCCGAACGTTCGGGCGTTCGGGTCCCCGTACGGGGCCCGAACCTAAAGGGGTTCGGACCCCGCAAAAAAATATTTCGGCACCTAAATTTTTTTTTTTTTTCTGAATTTTTTTTTGTGAGTTCTTTGTGATGTAAGGTATCTCCCTCTTAATTTTCAAGGCATTGTGTTCAGCCAAAAAACAATGAAAAATCGGCAAAGAGGGTGGTGTCAAAACTTGCTTGCCCAGTCACTAATTTGTTTTTTCTCTCTTTTCACTTTTTGTTTTTCCTTTATTTCGGGGCATGAAAGATACACATACATAAATTTTCATGTCTTTTGTCACAGCAAAAAAAAAAAAATGAAAAATCGCCAAGGATGGCGGTGTCAAAAACGTGCTCGCCTGCTTAATAATTTCATTCTCGTTTTATTTTTTCTAATTTTCATTGTTATTATTTATTTTTAGTATTTGATTTTTATTTCAAATTTGGTAAAAAATTTGGATGTAACGTTGAGGCAAATGTTGTTTAGTTTATTCTCCTGCATAACATATATATTTTTCAGAATTTTTGGAATTCGTTTTTTTTTTTTTTTTTTTTTNGCGCCCTCTTTTGGGGGAAAGAAACAAAAGGCGGCCCAACAGTGCTACTGGTCCCTGCTCCTGTCTCTTATACACATCTAGATGTGTATAAGAGACAGGCGCGCCCGCTCAATAATTTCATTATCGTTTTATTTTTTCTAATTTTCATTATTATTATTTATTTTTAGTATTTGATTTTTATTTCAAATTTGGTAAAAAATTTGGATGTAATGTTGAGGCAAATGTTGTTTAGTTTATTCTCCTGCATAACATATATATTTTTCAGAATTTTTGGAATTCGTTTTTTTTTTTTTTTTTTTTTTTTTTTTGGGTCGACCGAACGCATCCAGAGGGGTTGCCGAACGTTCGGGCGTTCGGGTTCGGGCGTTCCGAACGCCGGCAACCCTGGCTACTATAATGACCGGGCGTTATATTCGGGTGAAGACGGTAGTTTGACCAAGAAAATCAGAGCTACCTAGTTTGACCAAGAAAATCAGAGCTACCTAGTTCGACCAAGAAAATCACAGACCCCTTCCCCCGCCTGAGAAGGCAGAAATGTAATTCTATCTAGTAAGAGATCAGCCATATACCGTCTTCCCCCGAATAGAAGATATGATTATGATGCCTGTACTGGGGCCAACTTTCAGTATAGAAACAGCAATAATGACCGTACGTTCTATTCAGGAGGGGGGGAGGGGGGGGGAAGGGGAACAGGGGAGGAGGGGAAGAGGGGAAGAGGGGGACACCGTCGAGAGAGACCACAAGGGCAAGGCAGCGGAAGACGGAAAATACATAGATCTGACTCATCAGGACTCAGCACAGAATAAAGACATGGACATGGCGATGCCTACGCGCAAGAGTATCGCCCATGTCCAAATACACAGGTCGCGCATCAACAGAACAGACGAAGGAGAGGGAGGAAGGCGACGACTAAATTACTTACAGAGGTATGCATACACTCTAGGAATACCTCAGGACAGGATAAACACCCATCCAAACAACTCCAATTACAAAAGGTACAAACATGAAAAATTCTCTTCTGTTTAAATCGGAGAACTTATGAATGAAATACGCCTTGTACAGATAGCTAGATAGCTCTGATTTTCTTGGCCAAACACAACACGATTATTGAGCCAAATGGAATAAGATGGATGCTCCTAAAATACGGCTGGAAATTCCAATGGTTGCCACGCTGGGCGCAGCAGCTTGAAAAGCGCCGGGAAGAAGGGGAGACTGCAACTCGATAGCCCTGCTAAAAGATTGGTCGCCAATAGTCTCTGTCCAGAATACAGTGTTCGAGACTAGGTATACCCCGAATAGTCAGCCAAGTCTCAGCTTTCTCTCTCTCTCTGTCTCTCTCTCTCTCTCTCTCTCTCTCTCTCTCTCTCTCTCTCTCTCTCTCTCTCTCTCTCTCTCTCTCT